AACCAAAACCGACAATTCACATAAGTCATAATACATTATACGGAGCTACTCATGGCCTTAACTACCGAGTGAAGTGCAAATACTCAAAACGACCGGTCAGGTCATTACATATCGTGATTTATGACTTGCACGTAAAGTTTGGCGTCATTCCAGAATATTTAAGTATGAATCGGACACGTTCGTTGAAGTTTGAATGTTGGAAAGTTGAAGGAAGTTTTCGATTGTCGATTCATAGTTTTGATATTGTTTGGTGTGATTTGAGGACTCGAGCAGGTTCGTGTTGTGTTTTGGGACTTGGTGTGATTGGACAGGGTCCCGGGGGCCTCGGGTTGATTCGGAGTGATTTCAGGCCATTTTTTCTTATTTTGCAACTACTGGTGCTGGTGTCTGGTTTTGTTCTTCGCAAATGCGAAGGGTCTCATGTGTTCGCGAAGAAGGATTTTAGGGCTGCTGGGAATTGCTCATCGCGAACGCGACGCAGGAGCCTCGAACGCGGAGAAGAGGCTGGGGTAGCCTACGCGAATGCGATTTGGAGTTCCCGAACGCGAAGAAAAAAGGGGAGCTGGGGCCTGACAGGTGCTAAGCCTTCACGAACATAGCTCGTGGCCCACAAATGCGAAGGGCAGGGGTCAGAAGGCTTCACGAACGCGACGAGGAGGTCGCGAACGCATAGAGGAAATTTTTGAGCCATTGATTTTGGCCTTCGCGATCGCGATGGTTTTTTCGCGATTGCAAAGAAGAGCGAGCCCGGGCAGATTGATTTAATACGGGACTTAGCTCATTTCTCTCCCATTTTCATTTGGTTGGGTGATTTTTGGAGCTCATGGAGGGAAGATTTTAATTATCTATATCAAGGTAAGTAATTCCCGCATATTGTTAGGATTTAAACATGAAAATTAGTAGAAATTGTGAGATTCTGAAAAAACCCTAGAAATTGGTATTTTTGGATTTTTACCATGAAATTGGACATGGATTTAGGAATAAACTACATATTCGAGTTCGTGGTGTTATAGGTAATGATTATCTTCAAGAATTTTCGGAATCCAGGTACGTAGGCCCGAGGGTTGACTTTGTTAAATTTTCGAGCGGAGTTGAGAATTATTATAAATTATATGCATTGGAGTATATTTTGATTGATTTGCACCTTGTTTGACTAGTTTCGGATCGATGGGCATTGGTTTGAGGTGTTAGAGAGGCTTTGGAGCCGGTTATAGAACTTCGGAGTGAGGTAAGTCTCCTATCTAATCTTGTAAGGGGAAAACTATCCCCCAGGTGATATAATTGTTATGTGTTACTAGTTGTAGGTGCTATGTACGCACGAGATGACGAGAGTCCGTACGTAGCTAAAGTATATGTCCGGGTAAAATTAGGACTTTATCATATAATATTTGAATTATTTGAACTCATTATGTTGGCTTAATTAATTGAATTCATAATTAAAATTGATATATATATATATATATATATATATATATATATATATTATATTATATATTAGGCCGAGCCTTATCACCTTGAGTTGTTGGCAAATTAATTGAGAAACAAGTAAAGGTCATCTTATGCTCATGTACTGTAGTATAAGCACGTGTCTCGTAATTCGGTAATTTTCTTTCTTTCTTGTGGAGTGGACCGAATACCTCGGCAGTATAATAGATGCATCTATGGTTCGTGTCGATCGACCCTTGGTAGTTTACACATTATTCTGGATCACGCCGTACGACCTCGGCATAATCGTGTGTTATATCGCTAGCCGTCCGAATATTTACGAGATTATCCTTTCACTGATGCCTGACATTTTATATGGCATTCTTTATCCGTTTGATACTGGCACTTGATACATCTGAGCTATTGAGATAGAATACAAGACTGAAAAATTTATATCTTTAAAAGAAATTTTTGGAAGATTATGTAACTTACAGTTTTACCCCATTATGGTTATTGTCCTTCATATTTGCTTATGATTTATCATATTACTTTATTGGACCTCTAGTAAGTGTCGACGTCGATCTCTCATCACTACTTATCCGGAGTTAGGCTAGATACTTACTGGGTACGCATTGATTTACGTACTCATGCTACACTTCTGCACTAAATGTGCAGGATCTGACAGGTTCAATTGGTGGTCATCTTGGCGCGTAGGCGCAGCTGCTGAGGAGATTTTATGGTGAGCTGCATGCTAGGCTACGTATCGCAGCCCACAGAGTCTCCACCGTACTATTTACTTTACCCTGTCTTATTTACATGTCGGACAGATGTTGTATTATTATTGTACTCCTTGGTAAATGCTCATGCACTTGTGACATCGGGTTTTGGGATGATTCTAGAATTTGTTTATGATTTGCTTAACTTCGATATACTTTTACTTGTATAATATTTAAATGGTATTTATCTATGACTTTAATGTATTTATATCTCCACCTAACAAGATTCATGATTTCAAAAATAATAAAATGAATAACTAAGTTGTTAGTTCACCGTTGGCTTGCCTAACGGCGACGTTGGGTGCCATCACGACCTATAGTGGGTTTTGGGTCGCGACAACTTGGTATCAGAGCTCTAGGTTCATTTGGGTCTCACGCGTCATGAGCAAGTCTAGTAGAATCTTACGGGTCGGTACGGAGACGTCTGTACTTATCTTCGAGAGGCTACAGGGTTGTTAGGAGCACTTCCCTTCTTGATTCCTCATAGTGCGATTTGATTCCATTGAAGCTTATGCCTTCATTTCCTTCCTACTCAATCTTATGCGACGTGGAGCACTTGTTATCAATTGGGCATAGAGGAGTTGTAGTGGTACTGCAGACGTATTTGTTCTGTCGTTTCAGCTCGAGAAGTGTGTTCTGTCGTTTCAGCTCAGTATCTGTATTTCTTATGGTTTCGAGGCTATGCACAGATTATTATGATGTTCATGTGTTGTTATCCCACAATGTTGGGGTAATGGTAGGGTGCTTGTTTATGTGTCGAGACAGTAAATGACTCGAAATGAGGATTTCTAAGTGTATGGTTTAGAGGTTCGGCATTTAATCCCAGCGGAGAAAAAATAATCGGATTATGAATGTTTAGGCTTTGGTTTAAGGAGTAACGAGACTTGATATTCTCGAGCGTGGTGGACTTGATAAGACTTAACAATCCGTTATAGTTATCTGGACAAAAACTAGTAAAACAAAAGATAGGAGTTCTTAATTCTTCAAGCCTTCGAAAACTTCAATGCTGCCTCTATGCTTTACTAATCCTTAGCAACAATGTTTGCCTCTCTCTAGACATGATTAATTCTCAGGTTTTCTACCATCTACATAATTACTGTTACTTTACAAAATGTTTATTACTTCTATGAAGTTAGTTTCAATGATCAATGTGTTGGCCGGGTTAAAACAACCCAAAGATACTCTTAACACAGTGTGATATTGTCCACTTTGAGCCAAGCCCGTGCGGTTTTCCCAAAAGACCTCACACCATTAAGAGTATCTAACTCCTTATAAGTATAATCTTTTTCCTTTTTACATTGCATGTGGAACTTTGTTCACACACACCTAACACAACCTCAGCTACCTACTTCCGAACCTGATTAGTTATTTTCTCGTTGTCTTCATCACATGATTAGTTACTCTTATTATGATAAACAAACAGTAAATCTATGTGATAGTAATTTGTAGGTATTATTTAGTTTAATTCCTCTTTACTTTCTGCACGCTGCTTGGAAACTTTTGGCAAAATGCAACTTGATAAGGGTCCAATTTTGTTTTACATTCCCCCATCAACATCGAATGATAACATCAAAGTAGAAAACCTGTGTCTATGATTATTTTAACTTTTACAGAAAGATAAATTTCAATAGATCATTGGATAAGTAACTAGAAATGATGATTAATCTCTTCCTCCGCAAACTTTAGTATATTTTGGAATAAATATTGAATGCGGGTAATTTTTTATCGAAGAAGAAGTTAGAACACTAGTTCATGCTACATATGCTTGCCATCATATATATATATATAAAGTTTCACGTAACATTATGTGTGAATTGTAATATAATAAGCAATCTTTGTTTTCTTCTTTGATTATCTCTCTTTGAAATTAATTAATTTACTGAACCAATCAAGTTAAAATAGGTCTAAACCTTTCCGTTGACGGCCTTACTATCCTTGGATATATTTATTTGATTCACAACAGATGATCAAAGAATACTTAGTCGATACTCAAGATAAAGAAAATTGGATCTAATATTATAAGGACTTTGCATGACAAAATGAAAGTAAACAAACTGATTAATTATGGGAATTATATCCCAAGTTGAATCCAAAAATAGATTAATGGGCACGTGTAAACACACATCCACCACATTAACAGTGCATCGCAGTCCTCAAGAAAACACAAGATCCCCACGCTTTGATTTACCGATTGACCCTGTCTTAGATTAATTTTTATGCATCTCTATTTTTTCATTGGATTTTGGTGAATTTTGGGCGATGTCGATTGATACTGTCTAGTATCTACATCGTTTAAAAGTTTTACAAACTATATACGTTAGCATCTAAACGAAAAAACTGCTTTAAAATTGGGAATCTACACTTTTCATCTAAATGCAATTTTTTTCTTTTCTTCCCCTTAAGTTTTTGTGTTAATTAACGATCCCAACAATTTCTTGCGTACTGTCTTATAGAGAGCAAGTAATAAGCATACTGCAAGTCTGCAACTCTCTTCTACTTAGAGAAAATACATTTTACTATTTTAGACAAAATACTCAAACACAGTAATTACAATTATTAAATGTCTTTGTTAGAGAATTTTGCAAGATACGATAAAATGGTTATTTAAGATCTTCCAAGTGACATGAAGCAACATTGCATGAAGCTTGCAGTTGTGTACAATGGGGCTATCCACGTGACATTCTCCTCCCCCACCTATCTTCCTGTTGACTTCTATACTATATGTATTTCACTTCAACATGGAATTTTACACGTTATTATATATATAGTATCAGATTCAGAATAATAAGAAAGGAATTTTCCCAGCCGTAATACTTTAGAGTAGGGACATGAATCTTGCTATACTTCAAGAACACGAGCTCACATATTTAATTTGTGTACACTTGAAAATTTAGAAAATATTATTTCAATTCTCTCCTACTTTACTACTATATAAGACTTCATTCCTTTACCATACTTTCCATCCAAAAGGTTTTTTTAACTCATTATCACTAAGAAAAGGAGAGGGAGCTATAAACAAAGAAAATGGATTCAAGAATGGCTCAAAGATCATCATCTCCTTCATCAAGTGACAACAATGGCTTTATCCAAGCAGTTATAATGGCTCTAGTGGTAACCGTTATACTTGGCTATTTTCTGGTTTTGATCGTATCACCAACCAATATGTATTATCTTATATGGACACCCAAGATTAAAGCTCGGGCAGCCACTTCCACGTACTTTGGAGCTCAAGGTAATCCTACGTGTTTGTTCTATTTATGAAGCGTACATGGGCCGGGTTGGTTCGGATTTTTTAATTCCCAAACCAAACTAATGGTGCCGGATTCTTAAATCTATAAACCAAACCAAACCAAACCAAACCAATCAACTCGGGTTTTTCAATCTCGGTTTCTCTCATAGTTTTCAATTTTTTTAGTAAAGTTTTCATAATGTATTTTCCAAGAAAATAATATAGCATTGTACTAAATATTCAATAATAAAGATAATGAAATCGCAAAAATAAATATTGTTAATTAATAAGCCTTAATAAAATGAACATAATCTAAAAATACTAAGTCATGCTAAAATAAGAACAGCTAAATACATGACTAAACACTAAAGAAAAAAATGAACTAAGTTATGTATTTTTATTACAAACTAATGCAAAACTAAAATATAGATATCCTATACATTACCCTTTTTTTATTGAATTGAACTTCTTTTGTTAGCATTAATATTGATTTGAACTTTATTTGAGTTATTACATTAAGTCCAACCTTAAAATAATATGTAAAAAAGATAAAACTATGAAATTATTTAAGAAATATTTATAAATTACATTATAATAAATATTTCTATGTATAAAATATTTAACAATTGTATATATATAATGTCGGGTTAGTTTGGTTTCAGTTTGATTTTTTTTCCAGTTAAAACCAAACCAAACCAATTATGGTCGAGTTTTCTTTCTCAATACCAATCAAATCAAATCAAACCAAATCACAATCGGGTTATTTTATCTGGTTTGACTCGGATTATCGGATTGGTGCGGTTTATCGATTTTCTTTAAATGCATTTTTTTTCTTACAGGAATGTCATTGTTGTTGGACACGTTTCCTTTCTTATTTATTGCTGTCTTGGGGTGTATATACCTCCACTTAAGGAAGAAATCCAGTGATAAAAACACCAACAGGTAAGAAAAAGTTTTTTTTTTTCCAGTACGAAGATATAAATATGCAAAACTAGTTATATATGTAATAATTTTCTTTTTTTGTATTTTCTGATTAACAGAGTTGAGGGAAAACAAAAGTTGGCAATATGGAGGAGACCGATAATAGTGAAGGGGCTAGGGATTGTTACAAGGATTGAACTTTGCTTTTTTGTAATGTTTATCGCACTCTTAGTCTGGTCTTATGCGTCTTACTTGCACGCTGCCTTTCCCTTTATCACACCACAGTCTGTTGCCGAAAGTGGGCAGAAAGTGTAAGTAATCTGCCTCTATATAGTACTTATAATTTGTTATCATAATGTGTATGACATTTTATCCGATTATTTTACAATTTTAAATTGGTAATGACAGATGGGAAGTCAAGCTTGAAGAAGCAGGACTGATGTTAGGACTTGTAGGAAATGTAGTGCTTACATTTCTGTTTGTTCCAGTTACAAGAGGTTCCTCAGTGTTGCAACTCTTTGGTCTGACTTCTGAAGCAAGTGTTAAATACCATATATGGCTTGGCCATATTGTAATGACCCTTTTCTCTGCTCATGGAATTTGTTACATTATCTATTGGGCTGCCACTCATCAATTGTCTGAGGTAATTTATAGTAGGATTTATCATGAGAAGTACTAAAATACAACTAAGTCCAATTGGTGAATTTCTAATTAGTAGTAATTACTCTTTGATTGAAATGAAACAGATGCTTAAATGGGCAAAAACCGATATCTCAAATTTGGCTGGAGAATTGTCACTGCTTTCTGGATTGGTTTTGTGGATAGCAACATTCCCTCGCATTAGGAGAAAGATGTTTGAGCTCTTCTTCTACACTCACCACCTCTACATTCTCTTCGTCGTCTTCTTTGTTTTCCATGTTGGCGTCTCTTATGCTGGAATTATGCTTCCCGGTTTCTACCTCTTCATTGTTGATCGATACTTGAGATTCTTACAGTCGCGATCAAATGTTCGTTTGGTCTCAGCTCGAGTTCTACCATGTGAAACTGTTGAGCTAAACTTCTCCAAGAGTAAAGGTAACTGAAGGAACTAACATCATTTACATTGACAGTGATTGAGGTAGAATGTTATAAGATAATTCACATAGCTAAATTGACATTTTTATCCTTTTTTCAATCCACAGGTTTAAGTTATACACCAACTAGCATCATGTTTGTGAATGTACCTAGCATTTCAAAAATGCAATGGCATCCTTTTACAATCACTTCAAGCAGTAGTTTGGAGGCAGATAAGCTCAGTGTTGTCATTAAGGGTGAAGGAAGCTGGTCCAAGAAGCTTTACCAGATTATTTCTTCCCCTAATTCTGTCGATCGTCTTAATGTCTCTGTTGAAGGACCTTATGGACCTCCTTCCACACATTTCCTAAGGTATGTTTGAAAAATATAATACAGAGTTCATTAGAGTCCAGTAACCAGTAAGTTGCACTGTAATTGACTACTATGCCCTCATACATGCCATCAGTAGATGTGGGGATGGCTGGAAATTTAAGGGTTCATGGTCAGTTTGGTAATGAAATTGGTGATATTGTCACATGACAAGATGTGTTGACAAACTGAACATGATTGAAAATATTATATTGTATAGCAGAAGCGAATGCTTAACTTAGAGTCGGTGTGTTCAGTATCCGTTCTAGATCTATTTCATAGTGTATGTTACAATAATAAACTAAAGTTCTTTATTTCGTTGTTGCAGGCATGATTTATTGGTTATGGTGAGCGGCGGGAGTGGAATCACTCCTTTCATCTCCATAATAAGGGAGCTAATCCACACAAGTGAGTCACAGAAATGCAAGACACCAGAAATCCTACTCATAAGTGTGTTCAAGAACTCACAAGACCTTACCATGTTAGACCTTCTCCTTCCCATTTCTGGTGCCCCATCTGAAACTTCTAAGTTAGGCCTACAAATTGAGGCTTATGTAACAAGAGAAAAGCAATCAACAACAGAAGACAAGAAGAACTTGAGGACCATATGGTTCAAACCCAACCCATCTGATCAGCCCATCACTCCAATTCTTGGCCAGAACAATTGGCTTTGGCTTGGTGCTATCATATCATCTTCCTTCATCATTTTCTTGATTTCCTTAGGGGCTTTGGATAAATACTACATTTACCCAATCGATAAAAATACCAACGAGATCTACTCTTATCCGATAAAGGCTGTGCTGAATATGCTTCTCATTTGCATTTCCATAGTCATCACAAGTACTGCAGCATTTCTTTGGAACAAGAAACACACTGGAGTGGAAGCCAACCAAATTCAGAACATGGAAGGAGCAACTCCAATGGCTTCACCTAATTCTTGGTTCTATAATGCAGATAGGGAAATGGAGAGTTTGCCCCAACAGTCACTTCTTCAGTCAACTAATCTCCATTTTGGTGAAAGGCCAGACCTCAAAAGTAAGTTACCTGCAGTATTGACAATATATGGATTTTTTATATCACCAGCTTAAGTTAACCTACAACAACATTAACCAGTCATATATCAAGCTTGGTATACTAGTAACACGGAAAATAGATAAATAACCTGCTATAACCAATTAAATTGAATTGATGGTGTAAATTTATTTTACTGCCTTTAGTGTCTAAAACATATATCCCAAGATCATCATAGCTAAAGAAACTCTTATTCAAATTACCTGACCTTACTAGTAGTTTAAAGATCTATTGGAGACTCTTACCTGCTCCAATTTGAAGAACTCTGCTTTAATAAGTTGTAAATATGTTGCAGGGTTATTGTTTGAGAGGAAAGAATCAAGTGTTGGAGTTCTAGTGTGTGGCCCGAAGAAGATGAGACATGAAGTTGCAAACATCTGTTCCTCTGGTTTAGCTTCCAACCTTCATTTCGAGTCCATCAGCTTCAGTTGGTGATTTTATTTTTTTTTAAATTTCAAGAGACTATAATGCATTATGCATAGAATGACAAAAAAATTCATCCCTCCCCCACCCCCTACACAAAGGGAAAAATAAGATAACAGTATCTTTTGTTGCGTGTGTTGTTATGCTCCGGTTGATTGAGCTTTTTCAAGTGCTCCTATAACAAGTTTCCTTTGTTGTGAAATGTAAAAGATACTGTATGTTCTCTGTTTTAATCCATAAAAGCAAACATGTTGTTGTATGTGAAAGAAATAAAAGTAGACAAAATAAAATTAAAAAAAGTCAAAAAGAGATAACTTATGATGTAAGCGCTTACATCGACATTCTTATAATGTATGCGCTTACATCGGCATTCCTCTGATGTAAGTACTTACGTCGACAGGGCATTCAAATGCCTATAAAAGAGGTATGCATTTTCATTTGCATATCATCCCTCAACTTCTTCTTTCTCTCTTCAATTAATAAAGAGCTATTCTTTGTGTGACCGTAGAGTAGGCAAAAATTGACGAACCACGTAAATCTTCCCTTGTCTTGTCTTGTGCAATTTATTGCTTTTTTCTTTCAAATATTTTTTCACTTCTATTAGCCTGACACGTTTCCCAACAACTGGTATCAGAGCACAGACAGTGTAATTCTGATAGAAAAGTACGGTATTGATGCACGTACTATCACAAGAATAGTGTGACACTATTGATCATTGTTACTATTCATACACACTATTCACATAAAAAAATTGAAAAATGGCATTGGAATAAAGGAAGGTTAAGATTGACAAGTTCAATGGCAAGGATTTTGGATTCTGGAAAATGCAAATAGAGAATTATTTGTACCAGAAAAAATTATACTTACCTCTGACCGAGGTAAAACCAGAGAATATGGCCAAAGCGGATTGGGATCTATTAGATCGTCAAGCTCTTGGTGTGATTCGTTTGACGCTAACACGAAATGTGATGTTTAACATCATTAACGAGAAGACCACAGCAGGCCTAATGAAGGCATTATCAAATATGTACGAGAAGCCATCTGCTTTAAATAAAGTCTATTTGATGCGTCGATTGTTCAACTTAAAGATGACAGAAGGTAGATATATTACAGAACATATCAATGAGTTTAATGTAATATTAATTCAGTTGAGTTCTGTCAATATAACATTCGATGATGAAGTCAAGGCATTGATTCTACTATCATCTTTACCGGAGAGTTGGTCTGCAACAGTAATTACAGTTAGCAGTTCATCGGGAAGTACCAAACTCAAATTGGATTATATTAGAGACTTGGTTCTAAGCGAAGATATTCGCCGGGGAGAATCAAGTGATTCCTCAGGATTTGCTTTGAATACCGAAAGCAGTGGGAGAAGCAGCCAAAGAGGACAAAGTCATGGTCGTGGCCGATCAAAGTCAAGGAGAAGAGGGTAATCCAAAAATCGCAAAGACATTACATGCTAGAATCGCGATAAAAAGAGTCACTACAGTAGTCAGTGTAAAGAGCCAAAAAAGAAGAAGAACGATCAATACAAGGAAGAAAATTCAACAAATTTAATTGTTGAACAACTCGGTGATGCACTAATTTGTTGTGCAGATAGTCCAGTTGAATCTTGGATTTTGGACTCAGGTGCATCCTTTCACTCTACATCATGCAAAGAATTATTGCATAATTATATTGATGAAAAATTCTGAAAGGTTTATCTAGCACACGGCGAGCCTCTGAACATTGTTGGGAAATGTGAAGTTCATATAAAGACTTCACAAGGCACGCTATGAAAATTGCAAAATGTCTGACATGTTCCTGGCCTCAAGAAAAATATGATATCTATGGGTCAGATTGACAGTGAAGGATATACAACATTCGGTAACAGATCGTGGAAGATAACCAAAGGAAATTTGGTTGTGGCACGAGACTTCAAGAAGGGAACACTGTATGTAACTTCAATACAGAGAGATATTATAGCAACAGTTGATCATGGTCGAGATACAACATTGTGGCACCGGAGGCTCGGGCATATGAGTGAGAAGGGAATGAAATTATTGGCATCCAAAGAAAAGTTGTCAAACCTGAAGCATGTTGAATTAGGTTTGTGCGAAGATTGCGTTTACGGGAAATAAAAGAGAGTTAGTTTCTCAAAGGCGGGAAGGACGCCAAAGAAAGAGAAGCTAGAACTAGTGCATACAGATGTGTGGGGACCAGCTCCTGTAACTTCTCTAGGAGGCTCGCGCTATTACGTCACCTTCATTGATGATTCCACAAGAAAGATATGGGTTTATTTTCTGAAAAACAAATCTGATGTGTTTGTTACCTTTAAAAGATGGAAAGTTGAAATTGAAAATCAGACAAGTCTAAAATTAAAATATCTGAAGTCTGACAATGGAGAAGAGTATAATAGTCAAGACTTTAAAGCATTCTGCTCTGAGAATGGGATCAGAATGATCAAGACAGTTCCTGGAACACCAGAACAAAATGCCGTTGCTGAGAGGATGAACAGAACCCTGAATGAACAATCCAGAAGTATGAGAATACATTTTGGATTGCCGAAGTATTTTTGGGCCGAGGCTGTTAACACGGCAGCTTACCTCATAAACAGGGGACCCTCTCTACCGCTGAATTTTGAAATTCCTGGGGAGGTATGGACAGGAAAGGACTGTCACGCCCCGACCTCGGGGAGCGCGACCAATGCTCAATCAAGATAACTCGGTCGAGCAAGCCTACTTGATATCGTCTAACCAATCTTACCCATGAACAATATAAAATCAATATCAAGAGATATACATGAGAAGAGTGAAATGTTCCCCATTCTTTTCCCATTACTAAAGGATATTCATTTACGATTTCCAAAATATAACACGTTTATAGATATGATAAAAAACAGGTTTGCCCAAATACCAGCACTTACTAGTTCAATTCCAAATATCAAACACCACCCATAACCTGTCTACGGAACCTCTAAGTACAATAGAAGAGAAGAATAGAAGTACCGGCGATAAGGCCCCAGTTATACCTCAAAACATAAAGTACAACGTCAAATGACATGAAGCCCGGAACAGAGTAGGACTCACCAATAGAGAGTAACTGCTAACGAGGATCAAAACCGCCCGCTAACGAACCATCTGCATCCATTGAAGATGCAGCGCCCATGGAAAAAAGGAAGTTAGTACATATGGAATGGTGCTAGTATGAAAACCAAAACACCTATTTAAAGACATAGAAATACAACATGAATACAATGAATCAAAGTTAGCCGTTAAATCCACAGGAAATTATTATAAGCTTTCAATAACATTTATAAATTGTTAAGTCGGGGATCCTCTACAACTACCTTTACAAATAACGGCCCTACCGCCTCACCCCAATATATGTGGGCGGAGGTGTATCACAATACCACAATCTCTATACAAAGCTGCTCTGCCGCCTCACCCCAATATATGCGGGTGGAGGTGTATCACAATACCACAATCTCTACACAAAGCGGCCCTGTCGCCTCACCCCAATATATGCGGGTAGAGGTGTATCACAATACCACAATCCCTATACAAAGAGGCCCTGCCGCCTCACCCCAATATATGCGGGTGGAGGTGTAATCGTAACACCAAAACTCTAGATTCCCAAAATGATAATAGTTTGTACAATGGGTTCTCTTCCAATCAACCATTTCACACGTTTGGCCTTAGCAAGGGTAGGTTCATAAGGTTTCATCATATGAGAAATAAGTGTTTGATTACATTTGTTTCACACAAGGTTTTCATCCCAAGAAGTGGGTATAACATAATTAAGTCACATTAGAAAATCTTTAACACATCATTCATTCTTGAAATACTTTTTTCCAAAAAGGGTAATACAAAATTTCAACTCATGAACATATATGAGCTAAAAATACTTTGTAAATACTTACAAAGCATAGCATTAATTAAGACAACCACATTTGGGTATGACCTGAGCACATAAGCTTTTAGGAACATCTATTTTTGAAGTCAATTTGGGACAGTTGAATCAAGGCATATTTCATAACCTTTCTCACATCATTTCATTTTCTCGGCACCATTGGCCACAAGTATAACTTTCATTCTTGGCAAATTGGCCGCACTTTATATCTCCAACCCATTTATTTCAATTTCAAGCATCCTTGTAGATTATCAACAACAAGGCATTTCTACTCAAGACTTTAAATACATATTTGAGCAACTAACCAAATTAAGGGTCTTAGGCACATGTGATTTCTTACACAATTCGACATGTTAGTTTTCATTAGAATCACGTTTTCAAATTATAACATATCAACGCACAACCCACGCTTAATCACCTTCTCAAATAGTAAATCAACATAACAAGTACATTTGGATTACGAATTGAACGCATATATCTCCTAACACAAGGCTTATTCGGAATAATCAATTTATAATGAGCAACACGGGACTTACAAGGCCATTCTGGGGTTCAATTCTAAAAGAGGAGTTTAGCCAACATACCTGGAATTCTCCCCTTAATAATACTACGACGTTCCACCACACTAAACAACTTTAATCTACAACAATGCAACACAATTGCACCAATATTAGCAATATTTCTATACTTTAAGTCATTTAGACTTTTTATCAAACATCTAGTGTGCATACCTTTCTACAACCTCCTACAATAGAATTTCTTCACCTAACAACCACCTTCCACACCAATGATTCACCTCACAACTTCCATTAGCACATGCATTCCCAACACTTCACTCCCAACCCATAAATGTTATCAATTAATTTATTTTACAATCTCTACAATACCAACACAACCTAGGTTAGGCACTTATGGCTTCCAATCACCGTCCCATAAGTAATAACATATATTTCATACATAATTAATCACCATATATTAGTTAGAGATGGTAGACATACCTCTTGTAGACCAAATATTAAAAGACAATTTTTGGGATGTTCTTGAGATTTTGAAGAAATCCTATGGAATCCAATCAAAACCTTGTTGTAACTAGTGATTGAGAAGTGAGATCCTCATAAAAACACACTTAAAAACTCACCTTAAGTGTGTATTGGAAGCCTTGGTCGGATGGGTGATAGAGAGAAAGACCTAGTCTTGAAGAAACTACTTAGCCCCTCTCTCTACCCGGCCTTGGGGGTATTTAATGGGCTCCTACGTGTGCGGCCGTGCACTTGGGCAAGTGACCGCGCATCTGGCCACACACATAAGGCAGAATACCCTCTAATATGCACGGTCGCGCATCTGGGCGCGCAT